GACGCGCTTCTCCAGAAGCACCCCACTAAGCTAACCATCAAACTCATTGAGACCACTCTCAATGAGATCGAGGGTAACCTCCGCTCTGTTGCCTCCGATACTGGTGGAGTAGTTCCCTGCCACTTCGAGAGGTGCGCTCTGGGATGGCGCTCTGGCCCAGCTTCCCACCTTGACTGCTTCTCTTGCTGCAGCTGAGCTGGCTGCTACCAAGGAGACTACAGCTGTTTTTGCCACTGGTTGGAAGAAACAAGGCGAGGGAGGTAAGAAGGGAGGGAAGGGTGGTAGAGGTGGAGGTGGTGGAGGTATTGGTGCATCGAGAGGTGGCTCTGGAGGCGAGGCCGGCATTGCAGGTACGACTGCCCAGGGTGCTGGCACTGGGGGTGTGGCTGGGACACATCAGCAACAGCAGCAACAACAGATGTAGCAGCAGGTCCAGCAGCAACAGCAGCAGCATTTCCATCAATGGGGACCTCAACAATAGTGGTGTGAGAGTATGCCATCCATTCTACATTGAATTATCATATTCCTATTTTCTACTTCATTTTTGGCACTTATTTCCTACTAGTTTTCTTTCCTATTCCATATTTCAGTTATAGCATTGAAAATTATTGTGTTCACCGGATTTTACAATTTTGTGAACCTTTCTCTCTTTATCTCGTGTGATCTTGCGTGTGCGAGATTGTTCGCCGAATTCTCTTACCGATTCGGGAATGCTCTATTCACGCTGTTTCTAGAACCTCAATACCTTATAGTAACACCCAGGTTATGTGGGCAATGATTCTAGGCTAACCACTTGCGATGGCTGCTCCGGTACGAGTAACGGCTGAAGTAACCCTGCTTTTTTTCCGCTTGCGCCTCTTCATTCGCTGGCAGGTGCCACACAAGGTGACGAAATGTTGCACGCATGTTGCCATCCGGGGGCAGTAGTAATATTTCGTTATTTTGACAGGGGTTTTGTTGCTTCCCGAAGTGTCCCACATACGGCATGTCATGGAACTTCTCCAATAGGATTTGTCTAACCTCGTGCAGTTGCGCCTGGGGCCCTCACCATTGGCGAGGAGGATCATTGACTGTTCAATGCACATAAAACCGGTGCAGCTGCATTCGAGCAAGAATGCGTCATGCATTCCAAAGGTAACAGAGGAGTTCGCCACCAAATTCCGATTGCCACGAAGTTTGAAGTGACGCTTGACGAAAGCCGATGGATAAAAAATGTACGTTTGAAATCGTCTGCCGTGCATGGAACTTCGATTGACAAGCCACAAACCTCAACCTGTTTGGAAACGTGAATCCAAAAGCAGATGACGGATTTCGACCGTTAGATCGACGACCATGCGAGATCTACTATCGAAAATTGTTACTGAAATTGAGGGGATCGCGACCCTGGGTGGAGCTGAACGCGCGTCATGAATTTTGTCCTAAAAAGGTTGAAATTTTGACCATCGGAGCGATCACTTCTCAACAGCCGAGATATATATCGATAAATTGTTCCGAAAATGGGATATCAGCATAAGGAGCGCTGAACGTTAAAGAAATGCGTTTCGTGACATGAGCTGTATGATCCATCTTCATTAAGTGCCCCATCTATCTGCAGTGGTTCATCAAACCAGTTTTCAACATCAACCCCGCGAGGCGATATACCGATCACGTTCATCAGCGATCAAAGGTGTTAATGGTTTGCGTGAAGATACTTCGCATATGTCACGATGCTTGGAAGATTGAGTAATTAACCTCAAATTCGCCATGTACTCGTTCACGAGCGATGCAATGGTACTTGACTCAGAATACACTTCTTCTTGAAGCCAAAGCGTTACAAGCAACAACGTAAATTCGACCACGAAGAAGAATGTATGAGCAAGAAGAGAATGTCGACAAATGAAGGAGTCGCTCGACTGCGACGATGTTATCACGCGCCCTACCAACCGTACATCGGAGGCATGGATGAGCATACCGGGCTGTTGCTACCTGTGAATCTGTCAAAGGGGGGTAAACTAATCATCTTCATACCCTTAAAGGACATTATCACCAGCTGCAATGCGGTGATACCTATGCATTGACACATAATACCATGCACGAGGATCGAGTCTCAAGACCAGAAACTGTAATGTGAATCGTGGGTACAACTATGTGGCTGTATATAGGCACGATACAAGGTAGGTAACCAGGATGTTACGCGAATGTTCCATGCATTGGGAACAGTCGGGAACGAAACCTTCCCGAATTCGGTAGAGTAAATCCGGTGATAATCACACACACGCGAGATAACTCTTAAAAATAGGAATTCGGTGCACGCAACCTATTTCAGTGCAAAAACTATAATAACTATAGTAAAAGGAACAGACTTAAAAATGAGCACAGAAACGACAATAGAAAAAAAGGGAATATGCCAGTTCGGGTAAGAACGGACATCGTACTCTCACACGTCCCCCCTTCAAAGCTGGGTGGCATAAGAAACACCCCGCCTGTCAAGATAATCCTTGAGAGCACGGCGTGCGTTGCCCAATTCAGCTTCTGCAACTCAACTGTCCTCCGATGGGTCAAATGCCTTCCAGCGTATCAGAAACTCGAGCGTGTTGCCGCGTCTGCGTCGATGCGCGAGTAAACGTTCCACCTCGTACTCTAGTTCATATTTTACAAGAACAGGTGGTGGTGGCGGTAGCTATCGTCCCTGGTACTGTTGATTGGGGTCCTTGTAGGGCTTCAGTAGCTGAACATGGAAAGCGTTATGTAGATTCCACGTAGTTGGTAAGCGCAAGCGGAATGTTACTGGTGTCACGGCCTCGATGCACAAAGACCACAGAAGCAAGGTGGAGCTTGGACGGGAAGTGAGATAACCCAACTTACATGTGTCTGGAAGAATCTGATATCCGACTGCTAACGAGTGAGCAAGAACACCTTCCTGCAAAGCAAGCTCGTCCATGTTCTCTACATAGAACAGCTGGACTACTACAACAACGTGACCGGCCGTGTATGCAAGATATTGAAAAGCTTGTACGGCCTCAAGCATTCGCCGTTCTTGTGGTACTTGGCGCTTGATGCTCTACCGACCGGCGCCGGCTGGAGCAAGAGCCAGGTCGACGAGGCTCTCTACTTCAAGGTCGCCAACGACGGAGAGGCATGCTGGGTATTCGTCTACGTCGACAACTTGCAAGCCGCTATCAGCAGCACCATGATGCTGACAGAGATGAAGGAGCTGCTGGAGGCGGCCTTCCAGCTTCGCGAGATCAGCCTGGTCGAGCAGTATCCCGGGCTTGAGATCGTCCGCGACCGACCTGCTTGGAAGATGTGGCTTTACCGGCATTCGTACGCCGACAAGATGCGCAGGCGTTTCATCGATGAGGAGCAAACGGCCGGATTTTAAAGTCGCTGGTCTCCGTCGATGCCTACACCGAGCAGACGTTCGGCGACGAGAACTTCCAGGTGCGCGAGGAGGAGGAGGAGGAGTACCGACAGAAGGATGGCTCGCTATAGTTCGCCGTTGTCAACGGGAGTTGTGTGTTGGCCCTGTCCTCGCTTGGGCGGAGCCGACTTCATTGTCGGGTGTGCGGGGAGCGCAGCCGACCTGCTGCAGTGGGCGACTCCGTCCCGGGCGCCTGGACGCCGACCTGGGCATCTGGACGGTGTCCTGGGCGCCTGGACGCCGACCTGGGCGCCTGGACGCCGCCCTGGGCACCCAGGACGCCGACCTAGTTGCCCGGTCGACCAGGTTACCCGGGCGACAGGGATCTGCGGAGGTGCGCGATCGTCGCCCAGGCGGCTCTGGCGAAGCCGATCTCGGTGTGGTATCCCGAGATCGACGTGGAGGATGAGGTGCAGACATGGGCGCGTGGTCGGCTTGGTGTCTGCTCTGTGTGCGTGACGAGGCACAGCGCACCAACCAGCTGCAAGCACCTGCGAAGCGGGTGCGTTGCTTTCCTGCGGGTGCAACGCTGTGTAGCCGCTTTGCTGCAGCGCTGGCACGCCGTGGAGTTGCAGTGTTGGCAGACCGCAACTCTGCTCTGTTGGAGCGCGGTCAACCTTGTCGTGCTGGAATGCGGTCGACCGTGCTGTGCTGGCAGCCGACCACCTTGCATGCTAGCTCCTGATGTAGTCCATTGTTGCTTTGCTAGTTCAACCATCATTGTCAATCTTTGATTGTGAAACTCTTGCAAAATCTCCCCGTGAATATGCAAACAAAGAACACACAAGCAAACGACTAAAGAACGCTACGACCACTCCTACCCCGTGCCTTCCCCGTAGTCTAGCTCTCGTTGTACGAGTTACCTCCGCATGGTGCGGTGAGCGTGGACGGCACCGCAACGATACATTCAGTTAGTCGACTTAGGTTCGCCTTACCTATTTCGTGAGCAGGCCGGCAGCCATCATAGTCGTCATGGTAGGCCACGAGGCCGAAGCAGACGTAGTGGATACTCTGCAGACGCGGCTGGAGGATGCGAGGAGACGCCACGAGGCTGGCGAGTTTGGGCCAAGCCTCCCGTTGGAGGTCGTCGAGCTGGGTATCCGCGCAAACTGGGCTGCGGAACACCCTTCCCAACCTAGTTCTCCTCGTCTGGTACAGCACGAAGGCGGCGTCGGCGTGGGCGTCGACGGAGGCGATCAAGTCAGCAGCAGTGCGGGAGGCACGTGTCAAGCTATATTTGTTATAGCTTATTTGTGTTAGTCTAGGTGTACTTTATATTTTCCTAGGGTTAGGTTTACGCTTGCTATATCTTGCTTGTTTCTCATTTTCCTTAGTCAATTCATTCACCAATTGTTACATTGACATGGTATAGAGCGATAAGATCCTATGGGCCCACCGCCCCGTACCCTGACCTAGCCCGTAGCGCCTCGTCACTCGTAGCACCTCGTCACCTGTAGCGCCCAGTCACCCGTAGCGCCCCCCCGTCGATCCCATCAGCCCGCTAGCCCCACCCGTCACCCGTCACGACCTAGAACGGCCCCCGTGGGCCCGCTAAATTGCGCTAGGAAGGGACCCCCGCGAGTCCCCGTCACGTCACGACCTAGAACGGCCCCCGCGGGCCCGTCAGATCGCGCTAGGAAGGGACCCCCGCGGGTCCCCCCCACGTCACGACCTAGAACGGCCCCCGCGGGCCCGTCAGATCGCGCTAGGAAGGGACCCCCGCGGGTCCCCCCCACGTCATAACCCCGCCCCCCTTCCCGTCGCCTCCCGTGCCCCCCTCTGAGTCGCGCCCCCGTCGCCCCCCGTCCCCTCCCCGTCGCATCCCCCGTCGCCCTCCGCGTCGCGCCCCCATCACCCCCCGTTCCCTCCCCGTCGCGCCCCTGTCGCCTCCCGTCCCCTTCCCGTCGCATTCCCGTCACCTCTCGTCCCGTCCCCGTTGTGTCCCCGTCACCTCCCGTCCCCCTCCGAGTCGCGCCCCCGTCGCCCCCCGTCCCCTCCGCATCGCGTCCCCGTCGCCCTCCGCGTCGCGTCCCTGCCGCCTTCGGGTTCGCGTCCCCACCTCCTCCCGTCCCCATCCCGTCGCCTCCCCGCACCCTGTGCCCGCCGCCCCACCTGAAAACAGCCGCTAGAAACACCCCAGCAGCGCCAGCAGCCGCTAGAACCGTGCTAGCAGCGCCAGCAGCCGCTAAAACCGTGCTAGCAGCGCCAGCAGCCGCTAGAACCGTGCTAGCAGCGCCAACAACTACTAGGAACGCCCCGGCAGCGCCAGCAACTGCTAGGAACGCCCCAGCAGTGCCAGCAGCTACTTGAAACGCGCCAGCAGCCCCACCCCGGGCCCGCCGCCCCACCCTGTACCCGCCGCCCATAACCGCCCAGAACCGCCCAGAACTGCCCATAACCGCCCAGGACAGCACAGAACCGGCCAGAACCCGTCGAGAACCGTAGAGAACCGCCCAGAACCGCCCAGAACCGCCCAGAACCGCTCCCCACCACTCTTGACCTGCAAGAACCAGCAGTTGCATAGGCTGCCACCAGAACCAGCAGCAGCTTGGACTGCCGCCAGAACCAGCAGCAGCATAGACTGCCCCTAGCAGAACCAGCAGCAGCATTGGCTGCCCCCAGCAGCACCACCAGCAGCATAGGCTGCCCCCAGAAGAACCAGCAAGAGTATAGCCTGCCCCCAGCAGCACCAACAATAGCATAGGCTGCCCCCAGCAGAACCAGCAGCAGCATTGGCTGCCCCCAGCAGCACCAGCAGCAGCATAGGCTGCCCCCAGCAGAACCAGCAGCAGCATAGGCTGTAGCCAGCAACCGCTCCTAGCCGGTCTCCACCGTGCTCGGCCGTCTCTAGTGCCTAAAATGGCGTGTGCTAGAGTTCTGAAGCAGCAGCAGGGTCAGCCGCAGCGACAGCAACTACAGCACTCCCGGCAGTGGGGACCTGAGGGTCCTAGGAGTACCGGCTGCAGCAGCGGCTCAGCCAGTAGTGGGCGCGACGTCGGTCTCTGCGGGTACCGCATCCTGACTGGCCCGGGTGCTGGCACCACCTGCTGGAGTCCTGACCACTCTGCGTCCAGATGCTACCGTCGACTTGACGACCTCCACCGTGTGCGTTTTGGTCCTCACGCTATTACACCGCACTGGTGCCCTCGCGTCTTCGCCAGCGCACTGCTGCACTAGTTGAGTCTCACCTACCTGGTCTAGGACCTTTCTCGGCTACACGAATAGAGACCTGTGTTTCCAGTCTTGGTGCGTGTGTTGTTTCCAGTCCAGGCACCTCTGAGAGTCTTTGTGTAGGAGCTGCAGCTACCACTAGTCTAGCACCAGCCTTTGTCGCTGGCTCGGGTGCGACCTCACAGACTGCACATCTTTCCTTCACCCTAGACTCTGGAGTGTCCAGCTGTTTCTTTCGCGACTGTACTGACCTCACACCACTGCGCACTCCAGTCACTGTCGCCTTGGCTGACCCCTCCGTGGGACCTGTAGTTGCCCGCAGCACCACCACTCTCCCGTGTCTGGCGGCTCCCTCTGGGTTTCTCATAGATTACTACACCCCCTCATTCTCCAGGAACCTGGTGGGTGTCAGTCACCTTCAAGACATAGGTGTAGTCACTACTTTCCCACTGGACGAGCATGTTGCCTCCTGCACAGTCGGTGTCACTATGGCCCCTCTGGCCACTTTTCTCAGGGAGCCGGGCTCTGGCCAGTACTCACTACACACTGGGTCCCACCACACTGGGTCAGGCCAGGTCGGGTCAGGTCAGGTAGCTGCTATGTCGTGCGACTGTCGGTCCCTCACCCACCCGTCGGTCCTCTGGCACTACCGTCTAGGTCTCCCGTCGTTCCCACGTCTCCGTAGGATGGTACGTCACCGTCTGGTCTCAGGTCTCCCAGAGTCGCTTGCCCCGCTTCCTCGCTCGCCTGCGCCACCGTGCACTCCTTGCGTCGAGGGTCGGCAGCGCGCTGCCCCTCACTCCTCCTCGTTTCCCCCCACCACGGCTCCTTCCAGACCCTGCACTTGCACGTCTGGGGCCCCTCCCCGGTCCTTGGCCCACGTCAGGAGCGCTACTTCCTGGACGACTACTCCCGCTACACCACGGTTTTCCCCTTGCGACGGAAGGCCGACGTGCCTACCGTCCTCGAGCCGTAGCTACTAGCGTGGGGTGGCGTCCAGGGCCTTTGTGGGCTCCGCCTACACTCGGACCGTGGTGGTGAGTTTTCTTCCACTCGCCTGGAGACGTTTTGTCAGGGTCGGGGGATCATCCAGTCTTACACGCTACCAGCCTCGCCGCAGCAGAGGAGGTAGCCGAGCGACGCATCGGCCTGGTCATGGAGGTTGCCCGGACCTCCATGTGCCATGCCGGTGCCCCCCAGTTCTTGTGGCCTCAGGCAGTCCGCTACGCCGCGCACCAGCTGAACCTGTGGCCCAGTGACGCATGGCCACGGGTGACGCCGGTCTCCCTTTGGACAGGTTCTCCGGGCGTAGCAGCTGACTTCCGTGTCTGGGGTTCTCTGGCTCACGTTCGCGCCCCTGGCGCGAACAAGTTGTCTCCGCGCACTCGTGCCTGCGTCTTTCTTGGCTTCCCTTCGGACGCCTCCGGCAGGGTGTTCTACGACCCGGTCACCTACCAATTCTTCGCTTCTCAGGACGTCACGTTCGACGAGTCTGTCTGTTACTACAGGAGTCGCCCCCACCGAGGTACTAAGGTCTTTTCCCCCCCGCTGTTCCTCCCCCCTTCGCGTCCTGGCCCGTCAGGTGTGTCGCACGTCAATCCGCAGTCGCCCCCCCCGCAGCTTCCAGTCCCTATCGTGTCTGGGGGTGCAGGAGGTGCAGTTGCGGAAGGTGAGGGTACTAGGGCTGCTGGAGCTGGTGGTGTCGGCTCGGGGGGTGCAGGGGGTGTGGGCGTGGAGGTTACTCCCGTGGAGGACACGGCAGCCTCGACTCGGCGGCCTCGCCCCGCGTCACCCCCTGGCTTCCCGTCCGTCCCGCAGTTCCCTCCTCGTTCTTCTCTGCGGCCGGTTACTGCAGAGCCTGGGAGTGTTCCTGCGGGAGGTACTGGAGGCCCCGGGGGTGTCGGTGGTGGAGGTGCTGGTTCAGGGGGTGCTGGAGCTGGAGGCACTGGCACTGTGGCGCCTACACAGCGCACTGTACGTTTCCTGACTCCGTGAGCAGCGTCTCCTCCGGTTGGAGAGGGAGGAGCGTGAGCAGTTTGAGAGGGCACAGCAGCAGTAGCAGCAGCAGCAGCAGCAGCAGCAGCAGCAGCAGCAGCAGCAGAAGCGGCAGCAGGAGCAGTCTCAGTCGCAGCAGCAGGAGAGAGTAGAGCAGGAGTCACAGCAGCAGCAGGAGAGAGCAGAGGAGGGGTCACGACAGCAGCAGGTGCAGTTGCAGCCGCATCAGGAGAGAGTAGAGGAGGAATGACGAGTGCAGCAGCGGGTGCAGTTGCAGTCGCAGCAGGAGAGACTAGAGGAGGAGTCACAGCCGCACCAGGAGAGGGTAGAGCAGGAGTCCCACCCGCAGCAGCAGGTGCAGTTACAGATACAGCAGGAGAGAGTAGAGGAGTCACGTCCGCAGCAAGAGAGGGTAGCGCATGAGTCTTGGTCGCAGCAGTGGGTGCAGATGCAGCCGCAACAGGAGAGGGCAGAGGAGGAGTCACAGGAGCAGCAGCAGGGGCAGGTACCGTCGCAGCAGACGCCAAAGGAGGCGGAGCGGCAGCGACTGTGATTGCGCGACCTGCCTGACCTAGCACCTGCACGCTTGGTTCATGGTCCCCTACTTTCCCTTCTTGTCCCCCCCGTACAGTCCCTTTCCTCGTCCCAGTGGACTCGTCGTTCTCCCCTCAGTCGTGCTGTGTCTCCAGAGCCCCGTCGGTCTCGTTACCATGCAGACGGCCCGTTTCACCTTGTTCTTCGCTCTCGTGTTCCACCTCCTCCGGTCCTTCCACAACCTCCTGAGTCGTCCCTCACTGTGCTTCACGACCCGTTGTCCGACTACCTCCGTGCCTCCCGTCCTGTCGTCTCCCGTGTTTTGTCCGCGTTGGTCACTCACCCGACTGCACTCCTGTCGTCTGTCTCTGCTCTTGTTACCACTGTCGTTGGCTTTGCCTCTTCCCACCGCCTTGACTACGCCGCTCACCTGGTGAGTGGCACTGCTGATTCTCCGTCCTCTGGGGGTGCTCCTGTCTTTCCCTTGGAGGTCCTGGAGGACAGGCAGTTCGAGCTTGGTTTCCTTGCGGCCGCTGTTCCTCATCTCTGCGCCATGCTGCTTGCCCCTGAGGGGGATCCAGACACCCTTGACATCCCGATCCCTCGTAATCACGCTGAGGCGGTCTCGGGACCCTGGGCTTCCTACTGGATAGCAGCTGAGGAGGCAGAGATGGCATCTTATAGGTCCACAGGCACCTACGTTGACGCCGTCCCACCACCTGGGACGAACGTTGTCAGTGGCATGTGGCTCTACAAGGTGAAGCGGCCGCCTGGATCACCACCGGTGTTCAAGGCGCGCTATGTGGCGAGAGGCTTCAGCCAGCGCGAGGGGGTAGACTTCTTCCAGACCTTCGCTCCCACCCCGAAGTTGACCACTCTTCGGGTGTTGCTGCACATTGCAGCTCAGCGCGACTACGAGTTACACTCCTTGGACTTCTCCACAGCGTTCCTTCAGGGGAGCTTGCACGAGCAGATCTGGCTGCGTCGCCCGCCTGGCTTCACTGGCTCTTTACCTCCTGGGACCCAGTGGCAGCTGCGTCGACCGGTCTACGGCTTGCGCCAGGCTCCCCATGAGTGGCACGACACACCTCGCACGACACTTGCCGCGCTTGACTTCTTTCCGTCGTCTGCTGACCCGTCGCTCTTCGTCCGCCGTGGCTCGACCCCGTTTTTTGTTCTTGTTTACGTTGACGACCTGGTCTTCGCCACTCCCGACCGACACGCACTGGCCTCCGTGAAGGAGGAACTGCAGAGGAGACACACTTGCACTGACCTCTGTGAGCTGCAGCGCTACCTTGGCCTGCAGATCACCAGGGACAGAGCAGCTCGCACCATTACGCTGACGCAGTCGCATATGGTCGAGCAGATCCTCACGCGGTTCCGCTTCCCGTTCTCCAAGGTACAGCTCACCCCTCTTGCTGTGGATCATGGGCTCATGGCTCCACCTTCGGACCAGCCACTTGAGTCCAGCGGTCCATACCCTGAGTTGGTGGGTTGTCTCATGTACCTAATGACATGCACTCGCCCAGACCTAGCTTACCCTCTTAGCGTCCTGGCGCGCTTTGTTGCGCGTGGGAGAGAACGACCTTCCCACTGGTACGCGGCTAAGAGGGTGGCGAAGTATGTGGCGAGTACCTCAGGCATGGGACTTGTCCTTGGAGGGAAGCAGCCAGTTACACTTACAGGTTATTCGGAC